AACAACATTCTAACATGGTTAAAATCTCACGGGAGTCCATTTTACGTAATATAAGAACTTTACACCCAATTAAGGTGTAGTTATTATAAGTTAATACATATTTGACTGAAAACTTTAAGGACATTTCCATAATTTGCAAGACCCAAATCATTTTTTTTCTTATAGTTTGAATTTTTTTCTATCACAAAGCAACAAGCAACCGCTCATAGACTTCATCGACTGATCAAAGTACAATGGTCCCAAACTGATGCCTTGGGGGACACCTTTGCACCAAATCTGTTTTTGGTGATAAGATAGTCTTCGAAGAAAGACTTTGATGATATAAGTTAATGTTGTCTGATAAACTACTAAAAACGAACCACTGAGCACGAAGAGACGAAATCAAAATAGCTCAGGTCACAGGTCAAGTGGTCGTAAATGACACAAGCAGACCGCCAATGGTATTAATGACATGCGGGTCAAATAAATCAACATGAAAATATTTGTCTATTTTTTTATATATCCACAGAGTTCAGGATGATGAAAAATGATGACAGACTGTAGCCATTAAAGGTTTTTTATTACACAAATTGTTACCTCCTCAAAAACATACCTGAAGTTGTGTTTTGTTTCATTAGTTTGTCTATCTCCAAAGCTCAAAATGCTCTGTTCTACCTTGTGATGTCATGAAGTAGTAGTTTTCAAGTTAACAGCTATGTTTTACCTTTTATTCAGTAGGGATTGGCAACATCAGGGCTGAAATCATCCAAATGATTCTAGTGAAGGTCTGTGGAGTTTAAAAACACAGTGGAATTTCATGCATGAACGAAACATACACTGCCAGTCAAAAGTTTTAGAACACCACACTTTTTCTAGTTTTTTTACTGTTCACTGTTGACCAAAACATATTCTAAATGTCTAAACTTTTGGCAGATATAACAGCTGAACACACTCGTGGCTCATTGTTTTTACAATAGAAATCAAATATTCTTCAGAAAGTTCTTCCCAAGTCTGTTGCAGAAGTTCCCATAAATGTGCGGCACTTGTAGGTTTCTTGGCTTTCACTCTTCTCTCCAGTTCATCCCAAACCCACGGAATCCGAGAGGGGTCACAACAAACGCAAACGCCGCAACAAATACAAATGCGACAACCCAACAAAAAGCCACAACACACCAAAAAAAGCCACAACGGAAATGACCGCGGGACTCTATTTTAATGCAAACGCCGCAACAAATACAAACGCCACAAAACAAATACAAACGCCACAACACAAATGCAAATGCTGCAACACATTAAAAAGCCACATCAAGCGGCAAGTGAAGAAGAAGAACTACAACATGAAAAGTAAAGGAACGGAGAAGTTGGAAACGTAAGTAAAAGTAATTTATTGTTTTATCATTATTCATTTCAAGTTGTAGTTCTTCTTCTTCACTTGCCGCTTGATCGGTCCATTGGAAAATAGAGTCACGCGGTCACTTCTGTTGTGGCTCTTTAATGTGTTGTGGCTTTTTAACGGAAAACCTAAAATCCGCCATATCAGACCACTGTAAAAGGAACAACCACATTATGGATTGGGACGGGGCTCGGGTCATTGGATCGGAAAACAACAAGTTCAAACGCTGGATCAAGGAGGACATTGAAATCAGAAAGCGAGGCACGGACAGCATTAACCGTGATGACGGAGCGTTCCTCCTTTCACACACCTGGGACACCCTCCTCCAGAGAACACCGGGCGACAGGAGGCGTGGTCAGTCTGAGCGACCTGCCAGGTCCATCAGGCTGACCACGCCTACAGGAAGTAACAACAGCTGATATACGACACGTCACCACCAACACCGGTGACAGTTCTGAAGATGCTTACAGCTAGCAGCCGAAACATATCAACAAGGTAAACACACTTTACTGCATTGTCTTTAAAAAGAACCCAAGAAGTTAAAGGCTTTTTAACGTGTTGTGGCTTTTTAACGTGTTGTGGCTTTTTAATGTGTTGTGGCTTTTTAATGTGTTGTGGAATTTGCGTTTGTGTTGTGGCGTTTGTATTTGTTGCGGCGTTTGCATTAAAATAGAGTCCCGCTGTCATTTCTTTTGTGGCTTTTTTTGGTGTGTTGTGGCTTTTTTTGGTGTGTTGTGGCTTTTTTGGTGTGTTGTGGCTTTTTGTTGTGTTGCCTCATTTGTATTTGTTGCGGAGTTTTCATTTGTTGTGACCCCTCTCGGCTTCCGTACAAACCAGCTCGATGGGGTTTAAGTCTGGACACTGTGCTGGACACTCCATGTTTTCAAACTTTACCATCTTGTTCTTTTTTTCCTGAGGTAGTTTTGGCAGAGTTTGAACTCGTGATTTGTATCTTTTATCTTTTTTTTTCTTCAGTTCTTACCTTTGTACCATTTCATGCTCTTCATTGGACTTGCACAACTTGAATTACAATAAATAACTGGAAAAATTAGGGTATTCTAAAGCTTTTTGCCGGTAGTATCAGAAAGTAGCGTAATACAGGCTCTTTAACAATTCACAACAAAATATAATTATTTTTGTATAGGAAAAAGTCCTCAAGCTGAATATATATTTCTCAACGCTCAACTAAATCTTTGTGTTGTCTTGCTGATATGAAACAGTGACTATGTAAACATAATCACATTTTCTATAAAAGTTTGTAATACTATTTTAAATGACATCTTACATTACTTGACCCATTGGTAGCACTTTATAATAACTCCTTCTTATTAAGCATTTATTAAGCATTATTTAATACATTTGTTAATCATTAGTAAACTGTGAACTCTTAATTATTTCTCATCAGTTAATCATTTATAGATGTATATGTTAATGCTTTGTCCATGTTGAAGAAGTCATCTTACAGCCATTTGTTAAGCATTATTTAACACACTGGTTAATAATTTGTACACACTTACCTCTTAATTTTTTCATGTGATTTAATCATTAGTAAATACATTATTTAATGTCTTTGGTCATCATTAGTAAATCATTACTAATTCATTACTACTCATCAACTTTTAATATGTAACCGCATTGTTACACCCAAATTTATCAAATTCTTAACCCACATACTCAACTAATGATTTGTTACTCATTTCTTAATGGGGTTATTCCCCAGTATTGATCAGTTACTAAGCACTTGTACATGGTAGTTAGAATAGGTTAAGCAGGGGGTGTTTACGCTTACCACATGACGACCACCCTTCATGGACACAATATGTTCTTCTAAAGAGAGACTTGTCTATGCTCTAAAAACCATTTACAAATGATTTGTTAAGCCTTACTCATGATTAATTGATCAGTTATAACTGGTTAATTAAGTATTTTGTGGGAGCTATTCTAAAGTGAAGCTTGTCTATGCTCTACTAAATATTTACAAATGATTTGTTAAGCCTTACTCATGATTAACTCATCAGTTATAACTGCTTACTTAAGTATTTTGTGGGAGCTATTCTAAAGTGAAGCTTGTCTATGTTCTACTAAACATTTACAAATTACTTATTAAGATTTGTATGAATATGTAAAAAAAATTGACATGTCATGAAACCACACCATAGAGGGAAAGAAAATAACAAATATTTAACTGGTTGTGTTGAACACTCTTTTCAACAGAGAAGAATAGAATATGCTTGAGTTAATCATGGGTGAGCCTTACACTGCAAAAAGTGCCTGACTAGAAACAAGAAAAAAAAATGACAAAAAATTAGACAAATGTTCTTGTTATAAGCAAAAAAAAATCTGCCTATGGGGTAAGAAAGTTTTTCTTGCCTAGTTTTAACAACATTAGTGCAAAAAAAAAAGTCAGAAATTCTTATATCTTACTTGCAACTTGCTTAAATTAAGCAAAATATTCTCAGTATATGGTCAAATTTAAGAAAATAATTCTTATTAAAAAACATTCTAGACAAATGTGCTTAAATGTAGCTCAAAATAAGTAAAATTTTTCTCAATTTAGCCTAGATTTAAGCAAAACTTGCTCATATACTGTAAAATCTAAGCAATATTTTCTCATTATATACAAATTTCAGGTCAGTGTTGCTAGATTTAAGCAAAATTTACCTATATGCATTTCCTTAATTTAGTCATAAATTAGAAAAATAAATAAATAATGTAAATCTTAAAATTATGCCCATTCAAAGCTGTAATTTTAAAACAAGACAACCCCCAAAAGTCTTTCCTAATTTATTTATCCATGAAAACATGGTATCAAATACAGATGGCTCACAATAGCTACAGTAGAGCAGATTTAAGTAAACATAACTAAAATAAAAAGTAAAACACTCTTAATTAAATTACAAAGTAGTATATTACAAGGAAAACCAAATGTAAGAGCCTTCTTGTAAATGCTAAAACCTCTGGTAGCACAACACAAGTGTTTTGGAAAATTTGTTTGTACATTTTAAGTAATAAAAATAATGAACTAAAATAGTTGCACATTCACTCACTCAGTGATGGACTTCCACTCTGTTATGGCTTTTTTGTATTTTGATGTTGCATCTTTGTCATGGATGGAATCTTGATGGACAAAGTTTGTAGGACTGAGAGCAGAGTGGAAATACACTTTGGTTAAGTGAGATGAAAGGCGTAGTAAAAGGTCATCAGGTACACTAGTCCTTCATTCAGCTTGTCACGTGCAAAGGTGGTCACAGGTGTGTTGCCAATTGCGATCATGCAGTTGTCCTTGCTCAAGAGCAGCACTGGGCACGATAGTGGCCGCTTTTGAAGATAGCCTTCAGGGTCCTCAGATGTCTGCGATACAAAACATGATAAGGGTAAGTATCCACTGTTATAAAACACTGAAACATCCTACTTCGAAAGAATAACATACACAAAGCTATTCTCACCTTAAGTGCGTGAAAAAAGCTTCACCGCAGGAGCCTAATTTCTTTGATGGTGGTGCATTGGATGGAAAAAGGAGGGGTAGAGCTGCAAAACACTGCTAAGGCATGATCAGACAAAAGACAAAAACAAGTTACCATCTGCTATAACATTGGTGCATTAGTTTAATAATTGTGTTATCTCACCACTATTGAGTGTCTTTGGAGGCTTCATGGCTTTCTTCATTACCCCATAGAACTTGACTTTTGAAAAAAAGTTTTCCCATCTGTCCCTAGTCTCAGCAGTGTAGTTGGAGTTTTTTGGTTGAATAATTCTCTCTACATCTCATCTAGTACCTGGAAAAAATGCTAACTGCTTAAAGCACAGTAAAAGTAGAGTAACTAGTTTAAGGAAGTTGTACTTGCATGGTCGAATTCTTTGAAACAAGGGTAAACATAAAAAAATGTTGATGGCCTGTCATCGTCTTTTAGAACATCTGATGTGATGAAGCATCGTCTTGAGTCAAATTCCAGGTTGAGCAAGTGGCTGACAGCAGCTTTATTTGCCTTTTTAGCCTTGTACATCTCTTGGAGGGTATTATAGTGTCTGACTTGGCTCTTCTGACTGTCCAGGACGTCAGTGTCAGCAGAACCCCCTAAGCGAGGACATAAAAATGTTGTAATGTTTTTCTTTGAATGAATACAAAGTAAAAACTTCATACTGTACCAGCATCATCTTCACTGCTGTCTGGAGGGGGCTCTGGAGTGCTGGCAGCAGCAGGGGACTTCTCCAGAATGATGGTGGATGCTTGGCTTGATCCAGTTAAGATTTCATCAAAGTCTGTTGAGCAAGACTCTTCATAGTTCATGCGACGTTTCTTGAAAGGTGCACTGGCTTTTTTTGGGCTTTTGATGTTTGAGAGCCTCTTTATGAGCTTCTTGGTGACATGCCCCTGCAAGATAGAGAAAATGGCAAAATGCATAAAAGGGAATCAGAAAAAATATTCTTGTATAAACAATACTGTGCTAGAAAAGTACTGACCCATTCACTCTCAGGTGTTTTTTTCCCCTTTAACATTGGATAATACTCGACTAATCTTTTCGCCACAGTGTCAACCTCATGTTTGGAAGGGTACCTTGAGTCTTCAAGGGCTCTTGCAATGGACACCATGTTTGTCATGGTGTTTCTAATCAGTCTGCAGAAGAGTTCCTTGGACAAGTCAGAAGTGGTGGAACCAAGGCGTTTTTGTTCAAAGTAGGATGAACGGGCTTGTTCAAGTTCACTATCTGTGTAGACAGTATACTTTGGGCTGGACATGGCTAGATACTTTAAGGGATTGGGTCTGTCTTCTGGAGAGCGGCTATTTGCAATGGCAGATTGTTTTGATGGCTCCACATCTTTGGCAACACCTTCAACCTAAACAAATAAACGTATTCTGTAATTAAATCTTTATTGCTTTAAGTTGCATGGAAAGTTTTGATTCATCTATATCAACTATTTGAATCATAAGTAATGTATATACTCACCTTTTCATCACTGTTCACAAGAAACCACAGTGCCCTGTGCCTGAGAACATTTTCTGGACCTGGCAGCAAATCTTTAATGTCATCCCTTGAGCGTGACCATAGTAACTCTTCCCCAACATTGGCAGCTAAAACACACTGCACAAAAAGCAGTTAATGAAAATTATACTACATGCATTCATTTTCATACGTTCATACTTTCATGGCTACATGCTTAAGCTACTCTAGCTAACCATATTAACTTAGTTAGGTCCTTAACAAATAGCCAGTATTATGAGCTAAGTGTACTATACAGCACATTAAAAGTCTGATATTGTTGCAAAACATACCTCTTAAAGTGTCTACTGTAATTTCGTCAAGTGTATCCATTGCAGTTATTGCGTGTTAATACTGGGTTCTCTCAAAAAATCTATCTTTTCCTGCTCCTGTTGAAACGAGCCTCCAGAAGAGCCGTTACGATATCACAGGAACGCGCCGCGCGCGGTCTTGGATTTGAATGGCAAAGCGCCGCTCTCTGGACTAGTCCATTATGTGTGAGAGGGGTTTGGGTGTAGTTTAGCATTTTAGCTATATCAAAATCTATTTGACTGTTCTAATGTAAATTGAATGTATAATAAATTAAATGTTCAGGTAGAACCGCTTTTATTGTACAATTTATTGCATAAGTTGTTCAACCCACCGTGAAAGTACAGCGGCATTATGAGTAAAATAGAGGTACTGTAAACACGTTTGTGCGGCATGTCGTGAGAGACTGTAGTGTTACCGAGAGAAAATATGATTTCGCGTTGCGTTATTTGCTTTGTATTTGTCGGTCTAACCCTCAAATCTTTACTTAGTCGCATCAACTCTGCCCACAGCCGAAGTCCGGACTTCCGGGTGGTATGTGGTATTGATGGCTGTGAAAAAAAAAAATCGAGTGTACAACTCACTCTGGTACCATATCCGGAGATGTCAGTCGACGTATCTTCGCTGTGGCCAACAGGGCGGCTCCACTCCCGGGAAGAAATTCTGCGCCAGGGAATCACAATACTTGGGAATACAGACCCGGTCTGGAGCACGGGGATGCGGAGGAGCGGGGCCGACCTGCAGGTGACACCGCTGGCAGTGCTGCGAGCACTGTACACGATCAACACACAGACCAGCACCCGGATGCCCCGCGGAGACGGAGGAAATGCCACGACCACATTCAGACAGTTTGATTTTGGATCATTTTGGTGAATTCAGTGGTATGTCACTGTTCGGCGGGTTTAATGAGAGCACCCTGCTCGCCTCTCCTTCACACCGGGATGAAAACCTTCCTGCGCTGGGACCAGCCCAGACCAACCATCATCTACACTGGATTCACCGGTTGAGCCATCGGATACTGCTCCTGCAGCATACATTCAGGTAATCCTCTGTGTATTATTTTATATATATTATTTGCTTCAGTCTCTATAAGAAAAAGTGTGTAGATCATCTACTATGGAGGTATAAGACAGGGCTGCTAGATTATGGAAAAAAATCATTATCCCTCTTATTTTGGTCAACATTGAAATCATGAATATTCAAACGATTATTTTGTTTAGTTACACAATGCATCTATTGAGCATTTCTCTCATCATAGAATTCACTGAGTCTTGTCCTTTAGTTCGACAGAAGATGATCTGCGCGGGGGAGGAAGGGGATAAGACCGTTACTCCGACGGGGGTCGGGAGGGCGGGGGACACACGCTGCCTGTTCACCATGCTTGGTGCTAAATTAAAAAACAGACACAAGCATTTTATGACAATGGATTTAGCTCCACTACTAGCATGTTTCTCTGTTTTGCTAGCTTGTTAAATTAGGTCCTTATTATTTGATTTATATCATAATATGCAATAAGGACCTAATTTAACAAGCTTTTGCTCATGTGCAAAACAGAAACATGCTAAAAGTGGAGCTACATCCCAATATGTTGGCTAGAGTAATGTTTGGTGAGACTTTTGTAGCTTGTAAGTTAATGTTTATTTGTATTAAATGTTTGTTATTATTTTATTTTTAAAGGGTGGCGCTGACAGTCTCACCAGACAAGCTACTTCAATTGTTTTGTGTTCAAGAGAAAAGCACCATCTTTCACAGGTATGTGTCTTTATAAAGTTGGGATGTAAAGCCAAAAAATTATTAATTAATAAATAAAAAAAAATAAATAAATAATATATATATATATATATATATATATATATATATATATATATATATATATATATCATAATTAATACATTTCTTTGTGGTTGTTTTTTAGACTGGCGTGAATGATGTTGTGGCAGATACAGCAGTATCAAGGTATGTTGGTGTCTAATTTGAAGAGTCGGTTTTAGAGGGATCTTCCAGCAACATCCAGAAAATGAACTTGAGGGGGAAACAATGGCAATGTTTGACCAGATTGAGGATCCATTTGCTACAGTTCCTACAACATACAGACAGGACAGTGTGATCAAAAAAACTTTTAAGTTTGTTGAACCTGAGAAAGTGACAGTGGGGTATACAGCATGCTTCTGAAAAAAAGGAGCAAAAAGACTTCTATCCACTAAACCCAAATATTTTCATTAGGACCCACATCAGAAGTGAAAAACATGTCATCTTAAGGAGAAAGTAAAAACATTTTTTTGGAAATGATCACATCAGTCATGCAGTGTCTGTTAAATGGTTAAAACTGAACAGGAATAAATACATATCTGGTAAAAGTTTAATTATCAGTACAGTTAATGGTGACCTACCTGAGTTTGGACTGATTAAAAACATATTTGTTGTAAATCCAGCTTTGTATTGTTTTGAGCTTCAGCTGTATATCACTGTTGATAGAGATTATAGGGACTATATATTTAATTGAAATTCCAAGCATAGCACAAGCAAATGAATTGATCTCATCTGAAAACATTGTAGACTATACTCCATATTACAGTTTTGTTCACAAAGATGTGACCTATGTGCCTTTGAAATATCATCTTGGTGACGTCATTGCATCTTATACAGTTTGATCTGGTGGATTGTGCTTCCATTGATATAATGCTTTGCATTTTCTTTGAGAAAATAAATGGTTGGTATTGATAAACTATCTGTGTAAGCCTGTTCTTATAATAAGATTTTGGTTTTTATTATTTTCTAAATTAAGAAAAAATTTCTTGGTCTAAAGATGAAGATAATTCAAAATGTATTTGCATCTTGTTATAAGAAAAAATATAACAGTTTTTAGCAACAAAATCTTGCTAGGTTTAATGTCTTAAAATAAGCAATGTTTTCTTAAGAAAATTTTGCTAGACAAGATATTTTTCCTTTTTAGACAAAAAAATTATAATTTTTTTCTTATAATGAGACAATTTCACTTTCTTTAAATCGACTTTTTACATTACCTTTGTAAATATTTAGTAGAGCATAAACAAGCTTCACTTTAGAATAGCTCCCACAAAATACTTAATTAACCAGTTATAACTGATCAATTAATCATGAGTAAGGCTTAACAAATCATTTGTAAATGTTTTTTAGAGCATAGACAAGTCTCTCTTTAGAAGAACATATTGTGTCCATGAAGGGTGGTCGTCATGTGGTAAGCGTAAACACCCCCTGCTTAACCTATTCTAACTACCATGTACAAGTGCTTAGTAACTGATCAATACTGGGGAATAACCCCATTAAGAAATGAGTAACAAATCATTAGTTGAGTATGTGGGTTAAGAATTTGATAAATTTGGGTGTAACAATGCGGTTACATATTAAAAGTTGATGAGTAGTAATGAATTAGTAATGATTTACTAATGATCACTGTTGGGCAAGTTACTTTGAAACTGTAATGCGGTATTTATTACCTATTACTGTCATTTCAAACTAATTCGTTACATTACAATATTACAGCATTTAAAATGTAAGGCATTACATTACTATTGCATTACTTTAAGTTACTCTCACCAAAATAACTTTTGCACTGTATATGGACTGAACCAGGACTAAACCAGGTCTAAACCAGGACTAAACCAGAACTGAACTAAGACTAAAACAGGACTCACTATAGGGACGGGCTCGATGGTGACCGCAGGAGAAATAGCGGCTCTGCTCCGCACCTCACAGAGGTAAGCGCGGCTGTCACCCGTTCGCTCTTTATGGACCCTGCTGCTCGGGCTCGCGGCCCTGATTTCAGCAACTATTTGCAGGTTCCCGAGCCGGTGCAAGAGTCTGTTACAGCGCGTAACTTCTACCTTCCTTCAGCGTGTCCAGAAGTCCAACTTTTTGTGTGATGGTTTGCATCTTCCTCTGCCTTTTGGGTGCGAGTGCAGGAGCCTTTTGTCGGTGCAGAACGTTTCGTCGACGTTGTGGGTTTCGTCGGGGAGAAAACTTACAACCGTACAGCACTTCAGAATCACACTGCTAGAGACTGAACATGTATTTAAATTTGGCAGCTGAACACATTCTGTACTGTACTGTACAGGAGACAGGAGTCCCTTGGCCAGTCAGGACGCAGCGGGAGGAACGCAATACGCATTCATACAATGTCAAAAAAAAAAAAGGGCATGCAAAATTGCACAAAAAAACATAAAAAAAATCTGCAAAATAGCGAGACCGCGAAAAGTGAACTGCGATAGAGGGAGGGACGAGTGTAAACCAGGTCTAAACCAGAACTGACCCAGGTCTAAACCAGGTCTAAACCAAAACTGACCCAGGTCTAAACCAGGTCTAAACCAAAACTGACCCAGGTCTAAACCAGGTCTAAACAGCGTGGAGTTCTTTGTCAGTCCTTTCGCCCGCGGTTACCTGAAGGTCTACGAGGGCGCATCTCCGGCGTTTCACCGCTGCTGATATCGAGGTGATTTTAGCGAATTTGTATGAAGAAAAACCCACCACTTCAATCCAGGTTAAAAAAAATATTGTAACGCGCGTTACTCACATTTGTACCGAGTAAAATATTACAATTTTTTCCCCTGTAATGCCTTACATTACTGCGTTACAGCAAAAAGTAATGCATTACTGTAATTCGTTACTTTTATAACGCGTTACTCCCAACACTGCTAATGATGACCAAAGACATTAAATAATGTATTTACTAGTGATTAAATCACATGAAAAAATTAAGAGGTAAGTGTGTACAAATAATTAACCAATGTGTTAAATAATGCTTAACAAATGGCTGTAAGATGACTTCTTCACCATGGACAAAGCATTAACATATACATCTATAAATGATTAACTGATGAGAAATAATTAAGAGTTAACAGTTTACTAATGATTAACAAATGTATTAAATAATGCTTAATAAACGCTTAATAAGAAGGAGTTATTATAAAGTGCTACCGACCCATTATTTATTCCCATTTGCACTTTTATACACTCAAAACTGCTCTTTCCTGACTACATAATAGTACAAACTGAAGTACTGTAACTCTGATATTGGTAAAAGCTTTGTTATTTTATTATTTTTTGAGTTCTTTTTGAGAGAATCTGTGCCTGTGTCCTTCCTCTCCTCTCCTCTCCTCTCCTTCGCTAGATGCATAAATAAATAAGCTTAAATTTAATCAGCAAACCTCATGTTCCCTGGCCCAGTCACTTCACTGTGATTCAGCAAAATAAAACTGCAAGATGCTTTCCTGTAATAGCAGTACACTATTGAATGTCAAGGACTTATTTATTTATTTTTCGTTAAGACAGAAAGAGCACTTTGAGAATTGTTCTCAATTTGTGGTTTGGGTACATGTGGTAGAATAATAGTTTTGATGGTATTAAGAAATCAGGTGCTTTTTGTATTTTATCAGTGTGATTAAATTTGAATGAAAAAATGTT